ACGCCGATATATTAGGAGCAAAATCAAATGTCCCCTTATAATGTTCAAGTCCAAATAAACACAAGAGCTTCAATGATGTGAGCACCTTTAACAAGTGTTGATGAGGACTTGAAGGCCTTCCTAGGCTTCTTAACACGTTGGAGGCATATGACTGATCGCAGAGTCTGGCAAATGCCCATAAATGTCCTTATATGTTCAAGTCCAAATAACACAAGAGCTTCATGATGTGGCATTTAACAAGTGTTGTGAGGAACTTGAAGGCCTTCCTAGGCTTCTTACAACGTTGGAGGCATATGCTGATGGTGTGGCATGCCCATGTTAAGTGGCATGCCCGTGTTGAGTGGCACACCCTGGGGGTGATAGAGTCTGCCTCCTGTAGCACAGGGGTGCTAGGTAGCATGCCCTGGGTGTGCTAGACACTAACTTGGACGTGTTTTTATGTTTTTATGCTTTATTTGGCTTAGTTCTTTGTTATCTTTGTATGGGCCTTTTTGTTAATGGGTCTTTTGTATTAGGTTAGCCCAATTATGTTAGTTTCTAGTATAAATACTATTGTCTTCTTTGTAAACAAACAACTTTGATAAAAATTGAAATACAGAATTGATCAAGCTGTGCTTGTTTCCTTGCTTAGAGTGATAGTGAGAGATTGCTTCCTCTAATTGCGTCAAGAATTCTAGATAGACTTATTAACTCGTTTGTGGCGTTTATCTGATTCTTAATTCTCGATTATTGGTGTTCCCATTTCCTTATAAGCGAGGGGTGCCATAGAGGCAAAGTTCATCTCAATCTTTGATCTGATCCATTCGATTAGGGGTTCTAGGATTCGTTTCCTACGGTTTCCTCATCAAGATAGCTTGATGATTTAATAGGTGATTCTGATATGGACTTTGATACTGATCTCGAAGAAGATCGATCCAATGATTTGTTGCATAAGAGCATAAAAGATATTACTATGTAGGAAAAACACGTTCCATATGTATGTAACCATATGTATATGTGTGTGTGTACCTCTTGTTCCTTCTTGGACTTCTGCTTTTGTCAAGGCTTCTTGATGGACTACCTTTATACCTCCATACCTCTTCATCTATGCAAGTAGACATAAATACCAAAACCATGACCAATTCAAAAATGCAGTTACATTTGAAGCCTTCAAGACATCAAGTTTCTTTCTCATGCATACACGAAGCGTAAATGAAGTTTAGTCTATAGATAAGCATGTCAACTTTAATGCCTCCTACATCCTCGATGCATATATTTATGATCCAAATAGGAAAGGGATTGCCAGAAAATTAAGTCCCAAACAAACTAATACAATTCTAGATTAAATAGTTACTCGAATATAGGCTCTTGCCTAAGGATTTCTAAATTCAGTGCCATCAAGCTTCCATAAATATAGAAACAGAAGCTTGGACAACCAAAAAAGTTAGATAAAATGAAAAGCCATAGGAATTTGCATAGATAATTCTATCAAGTTTCCAACTTTCTGACAATCTCTCTCATTTGAGTGTCCAACAACATCATAATTTAAAAAATCCAGATTAAATAGTTACTCGAATATAAGTTCTTACCCAAGGATTTCTAGATTCAGTGTCATCAAGCTTTTGTATGTGCAAAAACAGAAGCTTGGACGACTAAAAAAGTTAGATAAAACGAAAACCCATAGGAATTTACATAGATAATTCTGTCAAGTTTCAGAAAGAGATAACCAGAAAATGAGAAATTACCTCGGTGTTGCTGTTTAGAAGCATAGTAGATCGGAGGTAGCGAGAGGAGAACAACACAGATCGATGGATAAGAGACCTGCAATGGTGAAGTTGTGAAATTGTGTTTTGTTGTTGGGTTGTGTTTTGTTTTTTAATAATTAGTAATAATTAAAAATTAAAATTATTAATCTTTTAAAAGCCACATATATATGTGTATCCAATCAAATTGTGAATAAATAAAAGAAAAATTCTTAAAATAAGATAAATATAATACTGAACAACGTTGAATCTTCTCTTTGTTTCAGCTTTCATATATATATACGTTGAAATTTCTCTTTGTTTTCAAGCTTATTTACATAAATATGTAATAATAATAATATAAGTATATATAATATTATTCCAAGTATTTATTTATAATTAAATTCTATATTTTTAATTATACTTAAAAAATATTTAAAAATGTCTATATCTGTATAATATATAAAAAGACGGTAGTTTGCTTTATATGGAAGCCAAGTGTAAGCTGCACAATTTGCCACTTGATATTATTTGGAGTATATAATGACATATGTTAGAATTCTAATACAATTTGCCACTTGACAGTAATTTGGATTATAAAATGACAGATGTTAGAATTCTAACACAATTTAGCACAATTGTAAGTATTGTAAGAAAATCAGTTTTTTATATTTTCAGATAATCTCTTTATCAAGATAATATTTATAAAAAAGATTATCTCTAGCATTTAATATATTAATATAAATTTATTTTTTTTATAAAACAATTAATAAGTAATCTATACGCTTTAAAAAATGTGAATAAATAATATATTACTATTAAATCGCTTTTTAATATATTAATATAAATTTATTTTTTTTATAAAACAATTAATAAGTAATCTATACGCTTTAAAAAATGTGAATAAATAATATATTACTATTAAATAAACAATATATGAACAATTTTAAAAATATAAATTAGAACGTACAAGGTATGATAATTTTTAAAAAAGTAGGACATTTACACGTTTAGAACACACTACACTAAAAAAGTAATACATTAATATTTCAAATAATTAAACAATCATTTATAATAAATTATGAACATAAAATAAAAAAATTAATTTCTTATTTCAATGACACAAAAATAACTTTATTTTTATTGGTGATAGAAAAAAGCTTGATTGATTAGCTTGATGCATTGAGTAGTTTTTTATACTAGGAGTTAGGTTGCCTAGAAACGGAACATGAGATACATGAACGTACGAGATACGACTATTTTTAAAAAAGGTAGGACATCTACACGCTTAGAACAAAATTTTAAATAAGTAATATATGAGATAAATTGTATGAAGTAATTTTTTACTTCAAAATACTTAAATTAAAAAAACATACATAATTTTTTATTATAATAAGAAAAAATCTTGATTGATTAGCTTGGTGTATGAAGTAATTTCATATACCAGAAGTTAAATTGTACGGACATGAGACATGAGATATAAGAATATACAAGATATAATAATTTTTAAAAAAGATAGAACATTCATACGCTTAGGACACACTGCATTAAATGAGTAATATATTAATATTTCAAATAAATAAATAATCATTTATAATAAAATATGAACATAAAAAATAAAAAAAATTAATTTTTTATCTCAATGACACAAAAACAAATTAAAAAAAAACACTTCATTTTTTATTGGTAATAAAAAAAAAAAACTTGGTTGTTTAGCTTGATGTATGAAGTAGCATCATATACTAAGAGTTAGATTATATGGACATGATACACGAGATACGGGAATGTACATGATACATGATAATTTTTTAAAAAGTAGGACATCTACACGCTTAGGACACACTACATTAAGTAAGCAATACATTAATATTTCAAATAAATAAACAATTATTTACAATAAATCATAAAAATAAAATAAAAATACTTAATTTTTTATTTCAAACATTTATTTACAATAAATCATAAAATAAAAATAAAAAATACTTAATTTTTAATTTTCAATATAATTTAGTTAAATTCTCAAAATTATTAATGCACTAATTGAAAAAATATATTAATAGCCTATGTATAGCCGCATATTTTTGATATATGGTCATACCATGCATGACTTTTGTTATTACATACTTTAAATAAAAGGCTTCGCAGGATATTTAAGAAGACAATATCTTAGCGTCGGCAATTTTTAAGGCATGTAAAGATGAGATACAATATATATCAATATTTATTATATAATTTTGCTATATATTTAAATGAATGTTATATAAATATAATTTCATCGTTTAATTTTTTCCACGAAGTTCTAACACTAGTATTATATATAAAACTTAGTTGAACAGTATTGAACCAGTTGAAATCTCCGGTTCAGTCGAAAATCCTGGCTATTGACTAATCCAGGTTCTCAAAAATATTGCATACTATAACAGATAAGTTTTTTTAAAAAAATAACTTTAATTAAAAATTTTTTGAAATGTTTTGATTATTGTATATGTATTTATCTAAAAAAGTAATATTTTAAATAGATATATACTTAATTTTTTATTTCAATATAATTAGTTAAATTCTCAAAATTATTATCACTATTGAAAAATATATTAATAGTATGTATGCATTTTTTGATATAGGTCATACCATGCATGACTTTTGTTATTACATACTTTATAAAAGGCTTCGCAGGATATTTAAGAAGACATATCTTAGCGTCGCAATTTTTAAGCATGTTAAAATGAGATACAATTTATCATTTTATTATATAATTTTGCTATTTTTAATGATGTTATAAAATATTATTTCATCGTTTAATTTTTTTCCACGAGTTCTAACACTAGTTATATATAAAACTTAGTTGAACAGTATTGAACCCAGTTGAATTCTCCGGTTCAGCGAAATCCTGGCTATTGACTAATCCGGTTCTCAAAATATTGCATACTATACTAGAAAATAAGTTTTTTTAAAAAAATAACTTTAAAATTTTGAAATGTTTGATTATTTATATGTATTTATCTAAAAAATAATTTTAATAGATTATATCCAATCAATTCATAAAATATAATTTTTTAATTGATCATGACTAAGATTATTTTAAGATATTTAAATTTTATTAAAGGAAAAATCAAAAATACTATTTAATCATAACTAAGGTTATTTTAAAATATTGAAATTCTATAATGGGCGAAATTGGAAAACCAATTGTTTCCATATTCCCACGTTATGGACAAAAGATTAATGAGAAATTGAATAAAAAAAAAATGCTGACATTGAGCCCATTTCTTAAAGGCATTTTGGTTGTGGTTTGGGCTGCGACTGCGGAGAAAATTTTGGGCGAAGAGATGGTCTATTTTTAGACTGCAGCGTTTTACAAAGACAAAAATAAGGAGTGAAATAGGTCTATCCTCCAAAACCGCTCAACGACAACGTTCGGCGATCCCGAGCTTCTCCTCGTGTGTGAAAATCCGTCTCTGGGTGCGCTTCTTTGACCTTGTCCATATTTTGGTTTTCAGAAAAGAAATCGCTTGATGAAATTAATTACTAAAGATTATTGTTCTTTACCAATTCAGTGTCAGGTGATAGATAGATAGATCGATCGATCGAACGATCTTGTATTTGGGGAAAAAGAAGGTAGAAAGATGGGAGTTAAACAGGCGATAAAGAGACTGGATGCGTTTCCTCGCGCAGAAGAGCATTTGTTGCAAAAAACACAATCCGGAGCTCTTGGTAATCAGCTTTTTCTCCTGTCTTCTTTTACCTTCTTTTTTTGATTTTGGAGATCTTTCTTGTTTCTGTTTCCTCGTTTTCTTTTCTTAATTACAAAATGGAAGTTTTTTTTTACGCTTTCAGCTTTATTTTTGTATTTTTGTTTTAATTTCTGCCTTCTTGTCTCTTTTTGTAGTTTCCATAATCGGTCTTGTCATAATGGCTACATTATTCTTGCACGAGCTTACATATTATCTCACCACATATACGGTTCATCAGGTCTGTCTTAGTGTATTACCTCTCTACTGCCTTTTTGTTAACCTCATGAGGTAATGCAGGGGCATGAAAAATTTAGAGTTTTCTTAGTGCAGCCATGTCCCTGTTGACCAGATAAGTTATTTCCTTTAGTCATGTAAATTTGATATTTCTCATGTGTGGCAGATGTCTGTCGACTTGAAACGTGGAGAAACTCTTCCAATTCACATAAATATGACTTTTCCTTCATTACCTTGTGATGGTGAGAAATTCAATTTTGCTCCCTTTTCATAGGTGTTTCAAATTTCCTTTTTTTTCTTTTTTTTGTTAATTCTTTTACTTTTGAAATTTAATCTCTGCAGTCTTGAGTGTGGATGCAATTGACATGTCAGGCAAGCATGAAGTAGATCTTGATACAAACATATGGAAAGTAAGACTATATATTTTATAAAAATTTTTTGTTATACTCTGCAGTTTGCTATGGACATAATGAAATGGACCGCTAAAATGAATTGTCATAGTTGCTATGGTTTTTAGTTGACTGTGATGTTTTTGACAATGCTATATTTCTTTATGGATTACATGTGTGATCATAAATAATATATCTTTATTGTTATGGTCCCAAGTTTATGAGCTGGTTATAGGTCTATTTGATTTAACATAAGAATATAATTAGGTTTTATAATGAGATAACCCTACAGTCTCTTTGAGCTCATTTGAAAGAACTCTACAATCTCTAAGTTTTAGGAACTCAAACTTTTTTACAATCTCTTCTCATTCACTTCAGTTTAAAATATAAACAAGAAAGGAAATAACTGCAACAAACAATTATCTGCAACCACAACTTGGAGAAAAACTAAATAAAACTGCCAACCACAATTAAAGATGCTAATCCAATGTGTATAGGAACCGCATGGGAATCCTAAAGAGAAATAAATCTAAACAACTAAAACATATCTCCACCAGAATTATCAAATTATTTAGGACTAAGGTGGATACTCATATGAGCTCCTACATTACTCCCATTCCCAAAATTGTATGAGATGCATCAGGTTGAACCTCCTCTAGTTTGAAAAAATGTTCATTAACACATCTGACCAAAATAATTTCTTACACTGATGACCCTGCATATATACCTGCACATAATAAAGCAAAGCCTCTTTGCTCACTGCTCCTTACATCTGCTTTATTTAACTTCTTAATAAATTGAACTTGTGATGAACTGCCTATTGTATTCCCTTGTAGACTGTTTGATGGGTTGAGAACTTCCTTTCCTTTCATATAATCTCATGGCAGTAATTAGTTTGAGCGTGTTAAATTCTATTTCCCTACCTATGTGGTAGTGTAACCCACTAATGAAAATTTCCATTTCTCGTTCTTGAGTAAGTGCACTAGCTCTTTTGACTGTTCAAAATAGTGTTGATACTCGTTACTGACCTAGTTTCTTGAAGCTTTGATGGCTATCCTAACTTATTACCTCTTACTGCTGGACCAAAATGAAGATTGCATAGAGGTTTATACTACTATGTCAAATTTGGGTCCTTCCTAGTTGTTTCTGTAAACCACACTTGAGGCTCACCCTTCATCTGGTAGGAAGACAACTCCTCCTTATCCTCCTCTGAAGATCATTGATGCCAGAAAAAATATTGACATTGGCTAAGCCAACGCAAGGGATCTGCCAATCCATCATAAGAAGGGAAATTCAGTTTGGCATACTATGGCATGAAGTTTCTCCCATGTGGAGCATCCATGCTGCCACTTCTTTGCCCCCAGCAACACTATTTTCCCCCTAGTTATTTCCTTATATTTGAGTAGAAATCAACTCATTCTTCAGAGACTATACTTAGACATCTCCTCTCATTCTGCTCAATCCTGTATATCTTCCTTATCCATGCTATAAAGGCCTAAAGCTGTTGTAGTTCCCTTAAATTGCCCATGACTACTTGACGGAAAACATGAATACATGAATACAAGAAAACCAAAATCAAATATTCAAGCTTAGAATTATGATCCAAGTTCAATGCGGATTTTTATTGCAGAAATAGTAGACCACTTCCAGTTATTTTATAGTTTATTTGGGACTATATTAAATGAATAAGTTGCTGGTACAATGTTTCCAAATTTGGTACAATCTTGTAATTTCAGCTTTGCTAGAAAATCTTTTCCTATTTCTTTAGGAGTCTTATTTAGTTTAAGAGAGTGTTTGGTTTGACTACTCATTTTTAACTTTTAACTTATATTGTATTTTTTAACTCACAAGTCAATTTAAACTTAAGTAGTTAAGTGTTTGATAAAACTACTGGAAAGAACTTTAAGTATTTTAAGTGTTTAATTGATAGCTAATTAACAAGAACTTCATTTGTCAAATATCAAAAATTTTATGTTGATTAATATCAATTCAAAGAGTTCGTTAAAAACAAAGATAATATTCTCATTTTTAAAATTATTAGGATTACAGAGTCTTTTGCTTTGTCAAGAGTAGTTTTAAAATAAGTAGATAATCCTAAGCATGGGTACCTTGCTTATGACTTCTGAATAATTTTTTTTAAGTAGTTTTTTTAACTTATAAGCTAAACCAAACACCATTCTACTTGTGAATTTCTACTCAAAAATAGGTTTGTGTCACTTAAGACCAAACCGAACACCCTCTAATTCTTATTTTTGAGTCTTTGTTGGGTTGGGATGGTATTATTCTTTTTTTAGTTTATTTTGGAGTCGAAATCCTTAGAGGATGTGGACTGGTTCTAAAGTCCTTCTCTTAAGGACTTAGGAGTTGTGTAAAATCCTTTTTATTAAGGATTATTATTTGTTGAAGTCTATAGTACTTTAATGCTTTCGTGTAGTTCTTTTATTAAATAAATAATAAAAAAAAAGAAACAGCTTTTTATGCTACTTCTGAGTTGCGTGATGCGATTCAACCATAGGTGTTATGACTATCAAATTTTGCTTCTGATGCCTAAAAACGTTTGGACTTGAAGATTACACTTATCTTTCTTCACATGCTTACCCCTTTATTTTACTATTCCTGTATCACTGTTCACAGTCTTCTTGTTCCTCCATAAGTGGCTCCATGATTCTCCTTTTTGTGTTCTCTTGCTTCCTTAACCTATTCCCTTATAAACCCTAATTGCTAACCTAAAATCCTATCATTCTATCCTCCAAATAAATCCTACAGCCAGCCTTAATATCTAGTTCTCCAAGCTGCTCTCTATTTCAATTGTACTGAACTGCACTTAAAACCTCTTTTTATCCTTTAGTTTTGTTCCTCAATTTCACCTTTTTGTAAACCCTAATTGTCCATCTTAACTCCATCTTTTTAATTAACCCGGAATGCATCCACACTAGCCATTCCTCCAATTACGTTAGTACTTACTACCAAATGTTGTGTTTCCGATTTAGTTATGGGTATTTGATTAAACATATTAGATTTTAGGGCTCATTAAGAGAGAAACCTATGATCACTTAGTGCTCGTTTATGAGAATGCTACGATCTCTGATTTCTATGACCTCCAAACCCTACTTAATCCCTTAATTAACTGACCTCCTAAACAACTGAATCCGATGCTAAAGGATGATAACTACCCACTAAAATAACTATTTGCCATAATAAAGATCTTGCTTAACTACCACCCACTAGTAAAGAAATGGATTGCGTAAAATAATAAATAAAACTACCCAAAATAAACCAGCTCCATAACATTTACACACAATGTTTTGAGCCACCAATTCTTGGGGACGTTTTTAAAGGAAGAATCATAAATAGAATGTAATGAGAAATAGAGTCCTTAAGTTCTTTGGTTAAAAAAGATATTATCTAAGAGAAAAACCAGATTAAAAGGTGGGCTTCTTCTGCTAATGGCCTAATAAACAAAAGATTATGCACTTGCTGTTCTTGTGATTTTGTTCAATGATTGTAATTTTATCCATTGACATTATCAACTCCAATTGCATCAACATTTATACTGAATGCACCAATGACAAAATCAATTCTTGTTATAAACTTGAAATCATTGCTAAATCCTAAAAGTTAGATTTTATTTCTCTTTCCTTCTAAAAGTACTGCCCTTTCCTTTTACTTTATTTATTCTCTCTTTTCCCTTTGGTCTCCTCTCTCCAGTAGTAGTCCTTTAGGAATTCTGCTAATTTATCATTCATTACCTCCTTACTCTTCTCTAAATAAATTCCACAAAAACCATTAACCCATTCTCCAACAATAAGTACTCAAGATCACTAAGTACACTTCATAAATCTGCTATAGAAAATCCATCTTGACCTTGCAATTGTTGCAACAAATCTAGCAAGTGCTTGAAAGCTTTTGTATCACTAACTACACTTCATAAATCTGCTATAGAAAATCCATCTTGACCTTGCAATTATTGCAACAAATCTAGCAAGTGCTTGAAAGCTTTTGTATCATTTAGTGTTAAGCTTGATTCATAAATGATAAACTTTGAGCATTAATGCAGTAGACTAATGGCAGTGTTAGATTTTTTTTAGTTGTGATTAATGTTGCATTGTGCTTGGGGAGGTATTCTTGGCATACGATTTAGGGATGGTGGTGCTATGTAATCTGGGTTTTAGATATTGGTGGAGTCACGTTAGCGCCCTGAATTCAAATACAGGGGACTATCGTCCATTACAATCACGATTCTTTCAATAGGTCGATTCATGTTGATACTAATACAAAGTAACCGCTTAATGCCCTTCAAAAGTATTTGCTTCCTTCTCTTATCTAAAGACTTTCTTTGCTCTTCTAACTCTTCAAAGTTTCAGCTCTTCTTGTTCTACATATTTCCCAATTTCTTGCTTTTTCCTTCCAAACCTTTGAATTTTCATTGAGTCTTGAGATCTAGTTGATAGAGAGGGTAGTTTCATTTTTATTTCATGAGAAATTTATGAAAATCAAACAAAAATTGAGATTTGGGTTCGGTAAATCACAAGGAATTGTTGAGTTGAGATATTGAAAGATGAAGAAAAGGCTAGTGTGTGGAGAAGAGAAGCTGGCTGCATTGGTGTCATGTGGAGAAGAGGAGCTAGCTGCATTAGTGTTTTGTGGCGAAGAGGACTTAAGTCGCTTTTTTGCACGGTGATATGAACAACTTTAGAGATTTGTGGCCTTTTTAAATGTTTCCCCTTGCGTGAGTTTAGATTAGTTAAATGTACAATTTATGATTTATTTATCATTTTCTTTTTGAAGTTTAATGTATAAGAGCAAAGTTTAAAGTCTATGAACTTTCAACATAATAATGTAAATGTTTTGAAAGGAAATAAATTTTATCTAAAATCTTGTACAAATAAATGATATAATATTTTATCTATAAAAATTATAGAAAGGAATTTAGAACAAAAGTATGATTTCAAGTTAAAGTTTAAAGTCAATTGTTCATAGATAGTATGTACTATTTTTTTTCCCTTCATGACGTGTAAATGAATTTAACATTTTGAGTTACTTAATTACACATTACAAAAGTGGCATCATACATGAAAATTATTAGGAAAGGCATATCTCTTGAAGAGGCAAGGCCTTCATCCAATTGATGAGTGGGAAACAAAGTCCTAAGCAAGGAGTTACTTTGGACTAACAAATTTCCATGCTTACTATTGTAGTACTAGGCAATTACATAACTTTCTACACTGCTGTGCTCGTGTCTCCAGGCTATTTTTTTATCTTGTTAGGATGTTAAACTATTGACAAAAGAATTTGTTCGCTTTAAACAAAAATATGCTAGAAAAAATGTTTCATAGGAAAGAGGTGGATAAAGAATAATGAAACAGGAAACAAAAGCAAATGAAAAGGTGTATTATTCCTAGACATTTTGATTGTGGTTCATATCCAAGGAAAATATTGTACATTGAAAGCTCCAAGCAAAGGGGTGGTTTGCAATCTTAAGGTGGTTTGTAATATATAGGGGTTGAAAAGAGAACAAGTGTATTAAGCAACATTACCTAACCATGCAAATTCTGTTGTCTTGCTTTTCTCATTTTTTATGAGTCACAAACTACTTTGAGTGTGTCAATTATGGGGTTTCTTATTAACACTACAATAATTTTGGATGACAAGGTCAAGAAATAAGAAACTTAGGAAGCTGCAGATGGAGATATCAAGCTAAAGATTGGAGTAGAAGCTTAGTCTATGGAAAATATTTGGTATATCTATATTTAGAACTCTTTGTTGAATGGAAAATATTTATGTGGAAGCCACTGTTTGGAGTGCATAGAAGAAAATAGTATATGGAGAACCTTTGCTAATCAAAGGGAAAATTAAGCCATTTAAAAGATTTTCATGCAAGGCCATTTCTGGACTTCTATTGGGACAAAAATCTAACACATGATAAAACCTGGCGGGCATATAATCATATCAGTATTAACAATGACAGTTGTGATTCGTCACTTTTTGCCGTTGGTTTCTATCTAATCTAGTGATTGCTTGTACAATTCTTTCTAATATTAAATAATAGAGTCCTCATTGGTTAAAAACATCCTCATATTCCTCTTCATTGAATACAATTTAATCATGACAATGAAGAAATAATTTCTAGCTCATTTCTAATGTTGCAATGAAATGGTAAAAAATACTTTATTTTCCAGAAAATATTTTCCATTGAATTTATTTGCCAGAGTTATCATGTTCCAAAAAACAAATGGGGTTTTGGAGGGGAAACTAATTAGAAACGTGCTCTATTCATGTTGGAATCAGTTGTGATTTTGGCGTTAAGTGTACTTGTCATGAGTTCATGTCTTTTGAGATGCTTCACCATTAACATTCGTTTATTTAAACTTTCAGTAAGTACTTGTTCTCCTTAGAGACTCTATGTTTGAGTGCATCCATGTGCATACCATCAATGGCTTCACAGAAGCTATACTTTATCCTTCTGCTAACCAAATTAGAATTTTTTTTACAGCTTCGTCTGAACAGTTATGGTCATATCATTGGCACTGAATATATTTCGGACCTTGTAGAAAAGGAACATACTGCTCACAAACATGGTACTGCCCTTGATGCATTACACATCTATAACTTTGTTTGAAAGAAATTCAGTTTTTCTTTTTGAGATCTGTATTCAGATTATTTTTTGTTTTCATGCAAAATTCTTAGTTTGTATAAAGAACGTAGTAAACATGAAGTTAAAAGCACCTGACAGTTACAACTCATAATTACTGCTTAAAATTAAGTTACAATAATGCCCTCCACAGTTGGGCCTGATATTCTAGTCCATCCGCTGTTTTAAGGCTATATCAATAGTTCTTAATTTTTTGTTGTATTATATGCTTTGTCCTTCTGTTAAATTTTGGTATAATCTCTTTTGTAAAAGATAAAATGCTGGTCAAACTAATTCTAAATTCTGTAATTACCATTTGCAAACAAGTTTGCTGTTCTCTCTCTTCATTCACTACTCTTCCATAACCTTTGCAGAATAACATAAATTAATTTAGTCTCTTTCTTTGAGGAGTCAAGTGATTTTTACTGACCACAAGAGGATGGGGATAGTAGCAGTTGCACTGATCAAAGTGAGATTATTTGGTTTTGTTTGGAAGAGTAAAAGTGAGTTTTTGGGAGATGATTAACATGTTTTCTTCGGAGTGCAATTTTTTTTTTTGGGTCTCTTGCCAAGTGATTTGTGGATGAACTTTTTTTATTTTCTTCCATGAGAACAAATCTCTGTCTCTAACATTTTTTTTTTTTTTGTAATTTATATAATAGTGAGTTTTGGGAAATGATGGTAACATTGGGCATGTGGAGGGGCTGTGGTGAAAATGATGTGCAAATGCCCCAACGGAATGCTGGGTGGAGATTGGGGATGTGAAAAGGGGGTGGGGGGGTTCTATTTTCAAAGGTTTTGAGTTGAGGATCAGTGTATGTTTGTCTTTTTACGCTTGAAATAACAAAATACTTTACAAAAGGACTAGATACTTGATATAAGACAAGTACAAGAACCTAATAATGTATTCTTTTCAAAACTGGGGACAACATAATGTATTAGGACCAAGGAAAATCTTACTTTACCCATTTGGAATGTAGTTTTGGCATTGACTTGGCTGTTCAAAATTTTGGGTTCTTGTCAAGGTCCTTGTTTAATTAAAAAAACAACTTCTGATATGATTTATGTGTAGTTGTCTATTTAAGTAACACTAACAATTGGGGGCTGACTATGGGTCTATATGGTTAGGTCCTGTCCTGCCCTGGTTGTTTACTTGATAGTGTAAACAGGCTTGCTTCATGATAGAATGGTATTAGAGTAGAGCAACCACAAATTGGAAGTGTGGAGGGAAGTGTTGTGTAGCTATATGTAGGAAGTTAGTGTTAACAACCTCTAGAATCTGCTTGCCAAGTGAACTAAGGTTTTGGTCTATGGTTTGACCTTGATGAGGGTGATAATAGGTGGAGGAGAATATGCCATTCTAAAACTGACATATGAAATTTAACATTGTTAATCTCTGTTCTAATGGCCTTTTCTTGAAGTCTAGTGGTCGACTAGACCTTGGGGTCTTGGTTTTTTGATGATCCACATGAAGAGACCAAAGATGAATGGAAAATAGTTAAAATAGTAAGACAAATGTTTATGACTTTAATAAATCATTGAAAATCAAGTTAGTGGGCATCTTCTTCTACTTGTGATGTGCTACGGAGAGAAACTTGACCACGAGAAGGAAGTTATAACTTATAATCTCCCCATGCTTTTGGCAATAGTTTGCTCTTATCGTCCATATCCTTTTAAGATCGGAATATGCTAAACTCTTCTATGCAATTTGATGTAATCTGTACAAATAAAAGTTTGGTGCAATTTGATGTAATTCTGGAGAAGCTTTTGAATAGAATATCAATAAATGATCTTTAGCTTGCCCTCAACTAACTTCTCATGAACTTAATTTTACGAAATTAGTGTATGCACCAATATTGATATGGTAAATAATTGAACCTTTCTGCCTTGGCCACATTTTTCCATTGAAATTGCTAATACACCCTATCAATCATTGGACCTGACACAAATTCTTGGCAGCCCTTACTTTATCCTACATCTATCTTGCTTCTCTTCCTTGAGCTTTTACCTCACTGATACCTGTATGCATATGAATGATGAAAGGTTTTGATTTGCAAACTGCAGTAAAGGGGTAGATGAATTTCAACTCAAATAAGCATAATTTAGGAAAAACTAATATTATAGGCTATGGCCATAGAATGACTATGGCAATAGAGCCTTTTTTTAAAAAATAAATTATCAGGCCTTTTGTTTTAATTAAGTTAGAATTGCTAAAATTGATGGCAGCTAGAAAGGTTGAGGATCAAGTCGATATAATTAAAAAAATTAGCTAAACATTTTTTTAAGACAGTTAATATTTATAAATAACTTTGAATTTGGTCAGATGATGATAAGAATCACCATGAGGAGTCTGAGACAAAACTTGATGCTCAAGGCTTTGATCAAGAAGCTGAAAAAATGATCAATAAGGTTAGACAGGCATTAGCAAATGGTGAAGGATGCAGGGTTCGTTCTTTTCTAAGACCTTTCAACATTTATTATGTTCATGAGCTAGCATATTATTTAATAACTTCAAATAGGAGAGCAAGATATATATACAGTTGCCTTAATGTCTTCTGCAGGTTTATGGTGTTCTAGATGTCCAAAGAGTTGCTGGAAACTTTCATATTTCAGTTCACGGGCTCAATATTTTTGTTGCTCAAATGGTCAGCTGCTTTTTTCTGTTTCTCTGCTAAACAAATTGTCTGCGCTTACATTTATTTGATTTGTTTTTATTTATTTTGCAACTGTTAGACAGTTATTGAGCATTCATTTGGCATGTTGTGGTCTCTTTTTGTATTTTGAAGAAAAAACTTGTTATTGTTTTGCTTATTTCTTGGTACTGGTTTATTGTTTTAACCTCCTTAAAACTAAGAATAACGTATGATGATGCTATAATGGTGGATAGTGGTGGTAATGGTTACGGAGTTTAAGAATTTCTTTGGGCAAATTAAAAGCCCATGTTTTGTGATTTACAGTTTTTTTGTTCTTTTTTTCTTTTCTTTTTTTTTTTTGAATAATTTTGATACAAGTGTTCAATAAACTTGCTACAGTAATACCACAATTTTCACCTTTTTCCGCTGGAAAAAAGTAACTACAATAGTACAAAATGCACCTTAGCTTTTGACGGCCTTTTTTTTCTCATAACATGGTCTGATTATGGGTTAATTTTACCAGTAATCATTGGTCAAATTCAGTAGATTGGATCAGAATACCTCAAGTTTTGTTGGGTATCAATTGGTTCTTAGAATGAAATCTGGCAACTTTGCTGGGAATTTGACATGACATTCTGATTGCAATTTTTTCATCCAATTGAGATGGTTTAATTTGCACAAAGACAATCACTCAGCCACATGAGGGGTGCAATTTTACTCCACCATTGTGGTTTGATGGCATAGCTGTGTATGTGTCTTACATAACATAAATATTTCATTATTACATATAAAGATAAAATGTATATTATTGGTATTAGCTCTTAAATAATCCTGTTTTTAGGTAGAATATATACTATATTCTACAGATATTTAATTATAGCTGATTATTTATTTCCTATAAAAGCATAATGTTTATGTAACATCTGTTTCTTTGTTTCTATTAAAAATAATTGTGTAATACTTGACAAGATCCAGATTTGCCCTGCCCTACCCAAAAATAAAATAGGTGGATAGGTAGGGGATATGGAATATAATCAATACCTAATCCCTACACCTAGCACTCATTTTTCTCTCTTTCGTCTCTCTTCTTCTAGTTGGAATGTCATGTTAGATTTCCGGCCATATCCTACTTGGCTTATTGTGCGGTTGAGCCAATTGTTACTTCAAGAAAACTTCACTTATTTTACTTTGACTATTGGCTCTGGTAATTACAAAGTGATTTAGCGATAACATCCATGACCATTGATGAAATTGGCCCATCGTTTGTGTGCAAGTGAATCACTTGTTACTTCAATCTTAGGTTTTGCTGAATACTGGTTTTTAGTGAATTTCTACTGGCATAAACTTTTTCTGGATGTGGCTTTCTGACTTGAATACATGTTTTCATTTAAAATCACAAAATGTGGGCTTGAAATATTTAGAAGATTTCACTCATATTATGATTGGAAAGATGAGTAAAGCAGGTTCAATTTTCTAGACTGATTAATTTGTTTCTGGGATAATCATCGTGGAGGCATCATTGGTCTTATGTGAATTGTTTTTCTATGAAGTAGTCCGAAATTTCTTCTGTTTATTAGGTTCTTATTATTGTGATTATTGAATGATTCGTCCTATCTTTTATACAGATTTTTGATGGACCGACGCATGTCAATGTAAGTCACATTATTCATGATTTGTCGTTTGGCCCAAAGTATCCTGGACTTCACAACCCTCTTGATGGGACAACACGGATTCTGCATGATGCAAGTGGAACATTCAAATATTACATTAAGGTTTGAATTTTGGGCTTCTTCTTGATTTTCCAATTTTGATATTGGTGATGTGTCAAGGTACACAATCTTTTTTTGCTACATACACATTACATACTACTAGTCATCTGGTTACCGTAACTATAGGGATTCAACATATGAATGTTTGTGTTAATATTTTCTAATGATAATAATTTAAAAAATTTCCTACCAATCTTTTACACTAGTGCACAAGCACACTAGATATTAGTATGCCGAAGGACCTAGAGGTAGCTCGTGTTTAATAGTATATTTATCTCCAAGACAGATATCATCCTCCAAAACATATGAGATCTTAAGATCACAAATTGATAACGGAAAGTCTAAGAATTGAAAATCTTCGAGGAATATCTCAAATATCTCTACATCATCTGAAGTTACTGGTCTAAAAATTTATTAAGAATTGTTTTTATAGAATTTATTAAGAATTAAGTTGCAGGTAGTTCTGTATCTCTAATTTTCATGCTAGCCAGACCTTGCTGATGATTGATTATCTAGTTTGAGCTAATTTTGCAAGACTTTTGCTGTTGCATTTTAATAGAAATTGGTGAATTTTGTAAGATCAGCATGACTGCCGTGGTGAAATTTGAAGCAGCAAACATAACTCTTTTGACAAGTATATAGAACTACAAATAAAATCATTTTTTTTATGCTTAAAAATTGTTGTCAATTTTCGAGATGTCAATTTATTATTATTGCCTTTGGATATTATGGTAACTAAATTTAGTAATTCTCAAACTGCAGATTGTTCCAACTGAATATAGATATATATCTAAAGAAGTTCTGCCCACCAATCAATTCTCTGTTACCGAGTACTTTTCCCCAATGGATGGATTTGATAGGACGTGGCCAGGTTTGCTGAATTTATGCAGAATATATGCACTTGGGTTGTTCCTTCTTCGATTTTGTATTGTTAGTAATAGTTTCTGTTCTTATATACAGCTGTCTACTTCTTGTACGATTTGTCACCCATCACTGTGACAATCAAAGAGGAGAGGCGTAGTTTTCTCCATTTTATCACTCGGCTTTGTGCAGTTTTAGGTGGTACATTTGCTTTAACAGGTTTGTTTTTTCAAGTGCTGCACTATGGTTGTTTTGGTCTATCCCAAGGTTTTGTGTAAATTTGTTGCTCTATGCATTGACAGGAATGTTAGATAGATGGATGTATAGACTTCTTGAAGTGCTAACTAAACAAAACACTAGATTCTGATAGAGGTGGGAACTATAGAGTTGTGTTTAACTTGCATGAAGACGTCCAAGAAGTCGTGGGCATATCTTATGAAGTTCAAATCTCAAGTTTTGGCGATTGATGTTGGTTTTAAATTATATAAGCTTTATGTTTAGAGCATCTTTTGTGTTATCTACATTCTAATTTGATCACTAACACTTGACAACTCATAATCAATCACTATTACCATTTCTGTAAGGTCATGTTAGCATTGTAGATTTTTTGGTGGAAATTCAAAGGTTGTATGAATGGATGTTGTAAATGTGTAACTTTTTTACGGAGCAACAATCTTGATTGTTTCATGAACTTTGGATCTGATCTGTTTGGCAATGAGCCCATTCTGTTCAAGCTTGTGAATGTAGAATAAAATAATAAGGGGCAACCCTATGTACGAAGCTCCTGTTATGTGTCTAGGAAAAGGTCGGACCATTTTGGATCTAATGTAAAATGAGGAAGAAGATAAAAAGATGTCGTTTCTGGAGAATATTTGTCGTTTATTGTGTGTTTGTTATAAATGCAATTAATAGTTAATTACAAATAAAAAAATACACATACTATTAAATTCGTTGGCATATTCTATTAGGGTCCCTTGATATGGATCTGGTTATGGGTCTGGAGTTGGGTGAGATCTTTCTTCTACCCATATTATCAGACTTAAGAGAGAATTTACAATCTCTTAAATTTTAATTTTTTTTTATTAACTCGCTGAACTTAAATACATTTGGAGATATGCCAGTTCTTACAAACATGGAAACATAACAAACATGTTAAGAAGAAACAATTGAAATTCTGTAATTAAAGAACTGAAATCCACTATTAGGTCATGGACTAATAATTAGGAAACACTAAGAACATGATTGCACCGCACAAAATAGTATCAACTGTTAGATTCAGCTTCGACGTGTTCTCTTTACATCCTTCTCTTCCTATCATTATCGAACCATTTTTAAATTTGCAAAAGGCTTACTGTTGACATTACTCCCCTCCAATATGTGCTTCTCCTCAAGCACAAAATCTGGAAATTGCTATTGTAGAGCCGTAACAGATTCTCATGACCTGCACGGTTTCGCCTGTCGAGAATGGCCAACGGTTGGGGAGAAATAGATCCTCGCCGAGGAGGTAGTTGAGTACTGCAAGAATGATGACCCTCATGTGGCTTAAGACAGGAAACATGAAAGATTGGAGAAAGCTTCTGATTTGTATGCCATCAGTCCAATATTGTAAGACTATGTAAGTCTAATCAAACTTTGGCCAAAGCTTCTGATTGCGCCGATTAGTCATTAACAATTGTCGATAAGATTGATGGCGGAGCAAAACATTATCACCAACTTTGAATTCAAGTGCGCGGTGATGTTTGTCATAGTGATATTTCATTTCATGTTGAGCTTTCAGCAGATTTTGGTCAAATAAAACGCAAAACTTCATCTTTAGATTTGAGAGCTTGGTCAACCGCATTAACAACTGAACTTCCAGTAGCGTAAGAGAGCAAATGCGGTGGGGGGCGACAATAAACCACTTCGATTTCGAATGGAGTGGTACACAGTGAAAAAATGGTAGCTGATGTTATAACATTACTCGGTCTATGGTAACCAATCCATCCATTTGGTTGGACGTTCACTGGTAAAACAACGAAGATACACCTCTACTGTTCGGTTAACCTTCTCTGTTTTCCATGTGGATGATATGCTGAATTAAAAGATAATTTGGTGCCACTCAAATGAAATAGTTTCAGTCCAAAAAGAGCTTGTGAAAGTAACATCACGATCCCTAGCTATATCTTCAGGCAAGCCGTGCAACTTAAAGATGTTATCAAAGAATACACGAGAAACACTTACAACCGTGTATGGATGTGAGAGAGGACATAAATGGGAAAATTTGGAGAAATAATCCACCATGACCAGGAGCCTCTTCACTTTGGCAATGCTTCCACAAACATAGAGAGATATCAACCAATCTGTATTTCCGGCATTGATAAGTGAAATTAATTGCTGGACTTCATGAGAATCTTGTTGCTCTTTTCTAATCTCATCAAATATGCTCAAATAAGGGATAGAAATGGCCATTAAAATTGAAGTATCAACATCTTGTCTTGTGAGAGCATCAACCACAGTATTAAAGCGTCCTGCCTTACATTCAACCGTGAAAGAAAAATGCAATAATTTACTATACCAATATTGCCCTATCCTTAAAATTATTTATCATATGGAAGGAAATTGTATTTTAAAAACTAACTGCATGTTGGGATAATTAATATTCTCTGCAATAGTTAGAGATTTCTGGTTAATTGTATGTTGTTATAGAATTTTCTTCAATTTTTTTTTAATTATTCCCCTAGATTATTTCTGTTTTTTGTTATTTCTTTCATGGATCAATTTATGGCCTCATTGTCGATTTCTGAAGTGGAAAAGGAAGCATTTTCAATACCAACTTCATCTGTGATTAATAATCTTACTTACGAGCATTGCTTTGTGGGACACTTTCTCACTACTAGTAAGATAAAATTTCAATCCATGAAGGTTGTTTTTGCAGATATATGGCATGCTTTAGGAGGAGTCACCATTACTGAATTGGAGGGTAAGAGGTTCCTTTTTTGGTTGTATAATGAAGTTGATCTTGACAAAATCCTTGAGGGCTCTCCATGGACTTTTAACCGTCATCTACTTTTGTGGCATCGAATGGAAATCAATGATGATCCCCTCACTACTCCTTTAGATAGTGTTCATTTCTAGCTTCAAATACACGATCTCCCAAAGGGGTATTGGTTTGAATCAATTGCTATCTTGTTAGGGGATTTTGTTGGTAAGTTCCTTCATTATGATACAAAGGGAATTACTGTAGGTTTCTCATCCTTCATACGGGTCTGTGTGCATTTGGATGTTGCTTTGCCATTGAAAAGACTTAAAAAACTTATAACACCAACAAGAGATGTGTTTTCTTTTATACAATTTCGCTATGAAAGACTGGTTGACTTCTTGTTTTCTGTGTGGAAAACTTGGACATACGGATTCCTTTTGTGAAGTTTGTTTGATGAAGCGGAAAGAGGAAATCGTTTTGGAATGGGATGATAAAATTCGGGCTATACCTCATCAATATCAAACTATTTCAAGTGAATGGTTGTGTGAGGAAGTATGTGGCGTCCATAATACTCGAGTATCATCTTCTACAATTGTTACTAGTTCATGAATTTCCCTTCAACACGTCACTAACAAATCTGATTGCGACATTATTTCCAATTTTGTTGATTTTGTGGGTCCTCAGACTCCTACTAATATAGAGTTGGATGTTATTGCGACAATTCTGGCTTTTCAATTTGTGGGACAACATGAGTGTACAATTTTACAATTAAAAGAAGCAAAAAAGAGGCCCCGCAAGTTGAAGTCTGTCATCTGTGGTTTAGTATAGATTCTACAGTCTATTCCCAATAATTCTATATCAATTCATCCTGTTCAGCAGCATAGCCGAGCATTACGAAAATTCTAAGTTGAAACTGTGAAGGATTTGGCAATCCCCGTACAGTCCATGCTCTCAAGGCTTTGTCATTGAGTTATAAGCCACAAGTTATCTTTCTTATGGAAACTTTGTGTTCGGTGATAAGATTGAAGGGGTTCGCCGACATTTGGGTTTTGATAATGGGTTCTCTGTTGATAAAATAGGGCGAAGTGGAGGTCTATCTTTATTTTGGAATAATTCTTTTCCATTAACGGTGATGCGTTATTCTCAAAATTATATTGATTCTCATGTCCAACGTGAAGATCAGATGGCTCGTTTAACTGGGTTCTACAGTGTGCCGGAGCGACATTGCAGAAGAACTTCATGGAACATGCTTCAGGCACTCTATCATTTGGATTCGAAACCATGGGTTGTTTTGGTGATTTTAATGATTTGATGTCTTTAGAAGAGAAACCAGGAGGACTGCAGTATCCTAGGTATCTGATACATGGTTTTTGCGAGGCTTTAAATGATTGTGAATTAGCAGACCTAGCATCTTTAGGATGTCAATTTACATGGGTTCATATTCGTCATAATGAGGAGCTGATAAGGGAGAGACTTGATTGAGGTGTTGTAAATAATAGATGGTTATTTTGTTTCCTAGATAGTTGTGTTACTATTCTTGTAGCATCAACTAGTGACCATAAGCCAATTTTACTAGATTCAAAACTAATGCCTAATATGCATCGAACATGTATTTTTAGGTTCGACAATTCATGGTTGGCTAATTCTGGATTTGTAGAATTATTGCGTGGCTTTTGGATTGAAATCATGCAAATTTTTTGAAACAGAAGGATATGTGTATTCAAAGCTTCACGAGTATGGAAAATCTAAAAACCGAGCATTTAGAACCCGCAAGCAATATTTGAGCCGAATATTGGAATTTGATGATGGCAATCTCTCTTTTTTCAAGTGCTAGCAGCTTCGGAAAGAATGGTGTTTTATCTTAGTGTTTTTGCACCGGCCCCGAGCGATCCGAAAAACGTTCCATTTTTTCTTTTGAATGTGGAAAAGTGATTTTGTTTATGAACAATGGTGACAAAAACTTTTGGATACGATGCCGATAAATCGGTCTTATAAAATATTTTGAGTCGCCACCCATTATTTCGGCAATGGGACCGTTTCCAATTTTATTTTATAAATATGACTCAAAATCGGTCTTAAAAATATTTGAGTCGCCACCCATTATTTCGGCAATGGGACGTTTCCAATTTATGTTATAAATATGGACTCCATTTTTAAACCCAATTCTATTTAAGGCCAAATTATTTGAAAGACTTGGTCAAGGCGCCAACCAAAGGCGATTCTAGGGTTAAGGAATTTGGTGTACGTCGGCCAGTTGGAAGCCGGAGCGCCGGGAAAATCGGCTTCTTTACCTACGATGTCTAATTTATTTAAGTTAAAAGAAAGGCCAATTTATTTAGTTCCAAACCCAACCCGAAATGAATCGAACCGAGTTCTTATATTGGAAAAAATTTATTTAATCGTCACCAAGCAAATCTAAAGATCACATTCATACTCTTTCCCAAATCATCCAAATCATCCAAGACCAAATAATTAAACCAAAATAAATAAAAGACTCGCGTCTTGCCTTATGTTAAAGGCGGGCCCACAACCGAACCTAAAAGAATACATCTACCCAATTTCGAAATCAAAACCCCAAAAACCAAAACCCAAAATCATGCATAATTACATTTTAATATTCTAAACCTAATTAAACTTAATCTGCTCACCAATTGGTCGTTTTCGGATCTATTAGGAAAGTTAAATTCATTTTGTACAAAATTCCGTTAAATTTTTAAAAGAACAAAATTTGTTTTTCTGGGACT